CTTCTATGAAGAAGAAGTCCTTCAGCACTTCTATGAAGAAGAAGTCCTTCAGCTCTTCTATGAAGAAGAATATCTTCAGATATTCTATGAAGAAGAAGACTTTCAGCTCTTCTATGAAGAAGATGACCTTCAGCTCTTCTTCTTCTTAGTCAAGCCTTGGTTAAGAAATCTTGGCGGGAAATAACAAAATGTTACTGGATGATAGGTCAAGATATATATCCCCTTTTTCTAAAGCCCTCACTTGTTCTATATACCTAAGTATTTTGAAGATAAAAATTTTCTGATCCTAAATTAGAAGATTAACTGCTCTTTGTCAATGTAACGAAATAACTTCTGGCTTTTTTATAAATATACATTTTGGTCCGTAATGTTCTTCTATGAAGAAGACCTCCAGCTCTTCTATGAGGAAAATCTACCGATCTTCTATGAAAAAGACCTTCTGTACTCTTTAGAGAAAACGTTATGGTCTTCTATACAGAAGACCTTTTCTATGAAGAAGCTGACTTTCAGTTCTTCTATGTAGAAGCTTACGTTCAGCTATTCTATGAAGAAGTTGACCTTCAGCTCTCTATTAAAAAGACCTCCATCGCTTCTATTAAGAAGATCTCCAACTCTTCTATTAAGAAGACCTTAAACTCTGTGACGAAGAAAAACATCAGCTCTAATATGAATAAGACCTCCAGAAGATCTATGAAGAAGACATTCTGTTCTTCTATATCTTCAGTTCTTCTGTGAAGAAGAAGACCTTACGATATTCTATAAATAATAAGAAATTCAGCCTTTCAATTTGGAATTATGTGACCTTCAGATATTTACTTAAGAATATGCAAACACAACATTAGGGAAAGATTATACAGCAAGATACCTTAATAAGTGCTCAATAATAGTAAAGGATTATAAAATAAGAGATATTGTGAACTTCCATGAGTAAGACCTTCGGGCCTTTCAGAAAAAATAGGTTTTGGGCGTCTTGGAAAAATAAAATCTTCCCGTCTTCTATGAAGGAGAAAACCTTGAGGTATATCTTAAAGAACAACAATTTCCGATTTTCTTGGAGGAGAAGCCCTTCTTGTATTTTTTGAAGAATAGGACTTTCTGGTCTTCTTAAAACCGCGTCCGTTTTATAAGAAGAAGACTGATAGTATTCTATAAAGAAGATTACATCTATACAAACGATTTTTACCTCTTCTTTTAAAAAGTAAATGGCCTTCAGCTTTTTTAAAAGAGGTGCTGAGAATTTTCTTACAAAAAATCCTACCTGTTGTTTAGAGAATACTAATTTTTCTTTACAACCTCCACAAATCTTCAAACATCTGGAAGCTGTCTCTTCAACTTTTACATCTCACAAATATTCCTCCTTTTGGTTATAGCGCACTTGCCTAAAAAAATTGCAATGTGTCTCTTATATCTGCCGCTGAAAAAAGCTACTGGTGGGCTGACTGCCGCATACTAGCTCCTTTGTAAAAGGAAAAAAATCAAGTTTTTCATGGCGATTTTTCACATGGCCTTACTTTCATTGCAAATAAATGTAATGTTTACAACAAATTCAGCGATTAATCTCAATGAAAACAACGACAGCAACAACAAACTTGCGACAATGGCTTTAGGAAGTTGTTTGAAGAGAAAAAAAGTAAAGTTGTGAAGGTGTTTGGAAAAAGTTAAATATCTTTCAAATAACAATTACCTGTAAGAGGAAAATTGGGTATCTCATAAAATTAATCGTTGTTCGGAATTTAACAGATTTTATTGTAAAGGTGTGTTATATTGTAATTGAAATGTAATAGCTTAAAGAAATATTTATTTAAAAAAACGGCCTAAAAAATACCACTCACATCTGTAGCTTGATTTTTTCCTTGTAATTTTTTTAATACTAAGAAGCAATGCATGTTTCAGCCCATTCATGAAAACGTGAATCGATTTCTTTTAGTTGTATTCCTTCTTTCAATGTCGAGTTCATGACATTTGAGCTCATTGAACCGAACATAAAAACATGTTTTGCTTAGAAAAATTTACATATTATTACAATTGGCAAAAGAGAAAATCAAATAAGGCTTTTGAAGCATGCTATGCTTCAGTAGTTCGGAAATAAGGTATTACCTAAAACGGCTAATATTGCAAACAAAATTGGAGGCGCATTTGTTCAAAATATTATGGCATACGTCCTGCCCCCTAATTTAAATATTTAAAACAATTACTTATATAATTTAATTGTAGCATGACTCACAACCGCGTATTATTTTTTATATTATTTTTGTTAAGGCTTGATCGACAGAAGTCCAAATTCGTAACTGATTTTTTTTTATTTATGTACGAATCTAAATAGTTTTAGCAAAAATATTTGTAATTCTCCCAAATTAAATTCTAAATAATACCGAAATGTGTCAAAATCTATAATATTTTCTTCACCGTCCAAAACTTAAAATAACAAATTACACTTCGGTTGGGACATTTTTCAAAATAACGAAAAGGGGCGCTACAATTGTATGAGAGCTATACTAAAATGTATTACCAAATTGCAATACCAATATCTCCTTTTAAACAATCCAGACAATTTTTTCTAAAGAAAAACTATTTTTTTTAAATTCCACGTCAATTTTTTATATCTCCAAATCGTCGCAAATTTTTCTGAAAAAACAATATTTCTTAAAAAAATACGCCTAATTATCTGGAGGCCGTAGCCCACAAATCCTCGGCATATTTAAAAAAAAAATATTTTTTTAAAACTTACGCTTATTTTTCTGGAGGCCCCAAATCAATGTCAATTTAATCATTTTTTTAATATACGTTATTTTTTTGATCCTAATCAAGGCCAATTTTTCTGAAAACCAAATTTTCTTCAAAAATTCAACATCAATTTTTCTGGAGTCCATACAACTAACGCCACGCCAATTTTAATGACGGTTTTCCTGGAGGTTATAGACCAAGACCGACGCCTATTTTTCGGGAGCCATAGACCCAAATATCCCTGTCTGTTTTTCTGAGCACAAATATTCATTAAAAAATTTACACCTATTTTTCAGTAACCCTAGCCCGAATTGCATGCCAATTTTTCTCTATTGGAAAATATTTCTTAAAAAATCCATGCCTAATACTATTCAAAAGTTCACGCCTTAATTTACTTAATTTTACATAAAGATCGCGCCTCTTTCAGATAAAAATTCCTCTAAAAATCCAAGCCTATTTTTCTCAAAAAAATGTTCCTTAAAAATCCCGACTTTTTTCTGAAAAAAAATCCTTAAAAATTGAGGAAAAATATTCTTTAAAAAATCCACGCCATTGAAAAAAAAATTCTTTAAGGGAACCCCACCCATTCAAGATTTTAATTTTTCAAGATTTTCAATGGGCTGGTAAATCAATACCAATGCTTGTTAAGGTTTGTAACTTTCAACATATATACTTAAAGATTTAAATTAGAAGAAAAATAATTTACAAAAAATTTTTGTTATTGTTTTGTTGTTGTTTTTTGTAATTAAAGAAAAGTCCTTATTTTTGATGGCGGGCATGATAAATCCTTACTCGGAATCATCGAAATCCTAAAAATTCCAACGGTGTTAGAAGGAGTACATGTCTGGCTCTCGTATGAACTAGGATTATTGACTTCGCTACAAAATTAACAAAATGGTGGATCTTTGAAAAAATATTTTTGGAAAATCGCCGATTTTTTACCAAAACCCAAGTTAAAAAATAAGGAAGATCTTCACCGATTGGCTTTATCCTAGTTCATACGATAGCTATACACTCACAGAGAAACGTATACAAATTTGAAGTCGATTGGGTTATAAGTTTTTGAGTTATCGTGCCCGCCATTCGCAAGAAAATGTTTAGAGAAAAACGCGTTTAAAGTTTGAGAAGCCCTTCAGCCGTCACTTGATGCTGACACAATAAATCGGCTATATCTTCAAGAGTTCTTGAGATTTTCATTCAGATTTTCATCCCCGAGAATGGGAGGGTCCACTTAAAAAATCCACGCCATTGAAAAAATTTTTCTTTAAAAAATCCACGCCTAATTTTATGGGGTCCATAGCCGAGGCATTGAAAACATTTTTCTTTAAAAAATCCACGCCTAATTTTGTGGGGTCCATAGCCAAGGCATTGAAAAAATTTTTCTTTAAAAAATCCACGCTTAATTTTATGGGGTCCATAGCCGAGGCATTGAAAAAATTTTTCTTTAAAAAATCCACGCCTAATTTTATGGGGTCCATAGCCGAGGCATTGAAAAAAATTTTCTTTAAAAAATCCACGCCTAATTTTATGAGGTCCATAGCCGAGGCATTGAAAAAATTTTTCTTTAAAAAATCCACGCCTAATTTTATGGGGTCCATAGCCGAGGCATTGAAAAAAAAATTTCTTTAAAAAATCCACGCCTAATTTTATGGGGTCCATAGCCGAGGCATTGAAAAAATTTTTCTTTCAAAAATCCACGCCTAATTTTATGGGGTCCATAGCCGAGGCATTGAAAAAAAATTTCTTTAAAAAATCCACGCCTAATTTTATGGGGTCCATAGCCGAGGCATTGAAAATATATTCCTTTAAAAAATCCACGCCTATTTTTCTGAAGTCCACAGACAAGGCATTGAAAAAATGTTCCTTTAAACAATCCACGCCTATTTTTCCGAAGTCCACAGACAAGGCATTAAAAAAATGTTCCTTTAAAAAATCCACGCCTATTTTTCTGAAGTCCACAGACAAGGCATTGAAAAAATGTTCCTTTAAAAAATCCACGCCTATTTTTCTGAAGTCCATAGACAAGGCATTGAAAAAATGTTCCTTTAAAAAATCCACGCCTATTTTTCTGAAGTTGAAAAAATATTTCTTTTAAAAAATCCACGTCTATTTTTCTAAAGTTCCTTGGCATTGAAAAATATTCTTTAAAAAATCCACCATTTTTCTGTATATATTTATATTTTTCCAAATATTATCACATAAACCACCACACACTTTTCCAGATGACATATTACTTATTACGATTCTCTCTCTCTTCATTTCTTCTTGCATTTCAGGAAAACGTCACGCTTTGGTGTTGCCATTAATATCCATAATCCGTTGACATTGTTCCAAGGTGGTTTCAGCAGTAAGCGTGATACTGTTTTCATCGTGCATGGCTTCAATGGGACGGCCACCGATAAACATTTGCAGTTTTTAAGGGATGGTTAGTGAGTAAACTTTAAGCCACAATGGCTATCACTGATGCGTGATATATATTTCAAATTAGCTAAACAAAATAACTGTCATTATTTTTTCATTAATTTAACAAATAAACAACTTTTTTTTTTTTTGAAATGATGATGGCTAACCATTAAAAATTTACGATTTTTTCTATGATTTTTATTAAAGCATATCTATCGAGAGATTTTAATGTCATTACCGTCGACTGGAGGCCATTGACTGAATATCCATGCTATTTGCAATCGTTGATAAATACACGATTGACAGCTCAGTGTACGGCCCAGGTAGGATGATCATTAATTAAAAAATGAAAATAGTGAAATTTATTAAATAAAATATATAATAACAAAATAAATCTTTTTTAGATGTATTCATTCCTCACACATTATGGTGCGGCCAGAGAGAAAATCACCTGTGTTGGCCACTCATTGGGCGCCCATATTTGTGGTATGGTCAGTAATCATTTGAATGTGAAGCAATATCGCATTATTGGTCTTGATCCGGCTAGACCTTTGATAGAACGCAAGAAAAGTAATCAGTTTCGCTTGTCATTGGATGATGCCAATGTCATTCAAGTGATACACACCAATGCCGGATATTTGGGACAGCAAGAAAATACCGGCCATTTGAATTATTGTGTAAATGGTGGAAGAATTCAGCCATACTGTAAGGGTAGTCCGATAAGTAAGTAAAACATATTGTCCTAATAAAAATTATTTTTAATTAATTAATATCCTTCTATCTCCACAGGACGATCCCGCTGTTCCCACTTTTTAAGCATATGCTATCTGGCATCGGCCGTTTTTAAACATCGCCGCTATTTGGGTGTACCCTGTCCGAATGGTTGTGTAGATGTAACGGGTCCCAAACGATTACCGGTATCAAGTGCTAATCCCTTCAGTGCAATATCACAAATTCGTGAATACTATTTGGGAAATGATGCGCCAGACAAGTGAGAAAAACTTTTGCTTTAATAGTTTTCTTCAAATATTTCTTAAATCAATTTAAATAATTTTTTTCATGTCCAGTGCCCAAGGTTGCGTTTGCATCGATGTGCCGTTTGCCAGACATTGTCCCTTCAGTGAAGTGACGTAGCCGGGATTTTAAAACTAGTATTAATAGAGTTAAAAAATAACAGACTTCCATTGACATATTGTACCATGCTAATTGTAATTGTTTTAAGTATTTTTCCATATTATTTGTTAATGTTATTTAAATAGTCTAATTTTATTTATTTTAATATATTTAAAGAAATAAAAATAAGAATTACAATATTAAATAAAAATAACCAAAAATATGTTTTTGTAATAGAAATTCAAAAAATAGAAATAAAAAATACAACCTATTAAAATAATTCTCAAAGGTTCCTAGACATTAAAAAAATATTCCTTTAAAAAATCCACACCTATTTTTCTGAAGTTCCTAGGCATTGAAAAAAAAATGCCTTTAAAAAATCCACGCCTATGTTTCTGAAGTTCCTAGGTATTGAAAAAATATTCCTTTAAAAAATCCACGCCTGTTTCTGAAGTTCCTAGGCATTGAAAAAATATTCCTTTAAAAAATCCACGCCTGTGTTTCTGAAGTTCCCAGGCATTGAAAAAATATTCCTTTAAAAAATCCACGCCTATGTTTCTGAAGTTCCTATGCATTGAAAAAATATTCCTTTAAAACGCAATGAAAAAATATTCCTTTAAAAAATCCACGTCTATTTTTCTTAAGTTCCTAGGCATTGAAAAAATATTCCTTTAAAAATCCACGCCTATTTTACTGAAGTTCCTAGACATTAAAAAAATATTCCTTTAAAAAATCCACACCTATTTTTCTGAAGTTCCTAGGCATTGAAAAAATATTCCTTTAAAAAATCCACACCTATTTTTCTGAAGTTCCTAGGCATTAAAAAAATATTCCTTTAAAAAATCCACGCCTATGTTTCTGAAGTTCCTAGACATTGAAAAAATATTCCTTTAAAAAATCCACGCCTGTTTATGAAGTTCCTAGGCATTGAAAAAATATTCCTTTAAAAAATCCACGCCTGTTTTTGAAGTTCCTAGGCATTGAAAAAATATTCCTTTAAAAAATCCACGCCTGTTTCTGAAGTTCCTAGGCATTGAAAAAATATTCCTTTAAAAAATCCAAGCCTGTTTCTGAAGTTCCTAGGCATTGAAAAAATATTCCTTTAAAAAATCCACGCCTATGTTTCTGAAGTTCCTAGGCATTGAAAAAATATTCCTTTAAAAAATCCACGCCTATGTTTCTGAAGTTCCTAGGCATTGAAAAAATTTTCTTGTAAAAAATTCTCGCCTATTTTTCTGAAGTTCCTAGTCATTGAAAAAATTTTCTTGTAAAAAATCCACGCCTATTTTTCTGAAGTTCCTAGGCATTGAAAAAAAATTCCTGTAGAAAATCCACACCTATTTTTCTGAAGTTCCTAGGCATTGAAAAATGTTTCCTTTAAAAAATTCACGCCTATTTTTCTGAAATTCATAGGCATTGAAAAAATATTCCCTTAAAAAATCCACGCCTATTTTTCTGAAATTCATAGGCTTTGAAAAGCATATTCTTTCAAAATCCACGACTGTTTTACTGAAATCCACGAATGTTTTACTGTATTGAAAAACGATTTTTCTTAAATTCATAGGTATTGAAAAAATATACCTTCAAAATCCCTGCCTTTTTTCTGTTGGTCTTGACAAAATATTCTTTAGAAAGCCACGACTATTTTTTGAAGGCCATAGACTATGAAAAAATAATTCCTTAAAAATTCACGCCCATTCTGCAGAAGGTCATTGGCATTGAAAAAATCATTTCTTAAAGAATACACGCCTATTCTCTTATGTTTATAGACATTGATAAATATAATATTTACAAAATTCACATCTATCATTCCTTAACTTCTTAGTCATTAAATAATAATCATATGCTTCGTTAGTACTCGTCATACCTGTTAGTAGGTGGACGGCGTGAAGAACCCTCCCTACATTGGTTATATCAGCAGTCAGGTTAAAATGTTTCAAATCAAATTCCAGACAAAAAAATTCAAAGGCGCCAAATGAACGAACGTTGAGTAAACGTCATGGTATGGGGTGACTAACTTGTGGGACCATGGACCGATGCAAACAAAATAATAAGAATTATATTATCCGGTTTTTGTGGATAATAAGGCCTATACTGTTGAAGAAGTTATTTCGAGCATGACGGTGAACAGATTTTTCAATAAACGCTGAGGCTAGTATGAAGTCCCGACTTCAATCCAGACATAATATTAAATTGTGAGATGTTGGGGTCAAATCCGCTGATTTGATAAAAAATTATATTTAAATAAAATGTTGGACATTTTGTCAAGGGAAGGGTGGTCCGAAATTCACTACAATCGATCTTGTTGAACAAATATCAAATCCTTGTTGTGCATATTCCACTTTATTAGGAACGTATATGGTCCGATGCCACTTGAGTCTAAAACTCACATTTAGATTTTATGTCTTATCAACATGTATGCCTTTTAAATAAAGGTGGTGTAATTGTGAGACCACCATTTTGTACTTTTAAAAGGTGAGACAAAACCCAGTGGTACTTTTTTGCTTTTTGACTCAAAGTCATTTAGCCGGAAGTAGGAGTATTAAATCGTTAGGATCAAAAAATTATGACCCATCTGTTTCGAAATCCATTTGTATATATTAATCGGACTTTAGGGAGCTTTTTAAAGATTATTTCCCAACTTTGAGTTGAGAATTAGGATGTTTGTTCTTCACCCATATGCCGACTAAAGGAAACCCCTAAATTGTTGTGTTGCTAGGACGGAACAAGTCCTGTTTAGAGGCCGGTCGGGCATCGCTTTGAAATTTCTATCACAGATAGTCATAAGTCCCTGATTTTAACGATATAGTTAATATTGAACACAATAACTATATTAAAATTTACTTCTTCAATAATAGTACAATTACGTTCTCATAATCAGGACTTCAATTGCATTGAAAAAGAACCATATTGCCTCAAGGAAATTATAAAAAGCATGGGAAAATACATGTGGCTCAACGGAATATTGGAAAACCATATCTCCGGATGGATACGAAACAAGTATACCATTGTAATCAGTGGGCCTAGAACTATTACTTATGTTCAAAAAGGTTTGCGTCCGGGCCGAAGGCTTGACAACAATGAAGTACCGATTTTCGGTAGGATTTTATTGGTAAATATACTTTTATACCCAAACCAGATCGACATACATACTGTGTGCCCCTCCCATCAAAAAGAATTGTCTGTGAAAAAAATATGAAAGAATTTAATATTGAAATTTGAAAAAAAAAAGAATTCAAATGTCTTACCGTTGATATCCATGTTTTCGAATCGCGGCGACTCACTTGATGCAACGAATTAACATAAACCGGAACACGAAACTTCAAATTATGTAATCATATTTTAAACGAACGCGACGGACGACTTTTAACGATTATTGAAAACTACGACACATTAATTATTTGTTCCTTTAACCGAATTTTTAAAAACCGAACGCGATACTTATACCGACACGAGATAATCGAAGTAATCTTTTTTCTTGCAACTTTCATTTGGAAAGAAAGGATTTAAAATTTTAGCACACACATTAATTAGTTTGAAAAATTTTTTGTTCAAAATCTTGAATTTTTTATTTTCCAATATTTTTATATTTTTCAAATATTTGTTGCAGCTTTATGAACTTTAAGACATTGTTTTGTATGTAACATCATTCCCGGAATAGTCTTACAAATCAAGTAAAGTAATTTAACCAAATCTTTGTATTTCCCCAGGAAGCACTAAATTTTCATGCCGCCTTTTGTTACAAATAACAAAATCGAACTTGCACACCAAAAATTCTTGTTTGAACAAACATGTCTGCCGCAAGAAAAAAGAAGCCAACAATGAAATGGCACAAAACCCGTTAGTCGAGAACAAGTATTATTTTATGTTGATTTTTCTATAGTTTAAAGTTATATTTAATATTGAAATTTATTTTTCAAATGTACCACACACTATTCTTAACACTTTTCCACAGTTTTTATATTTTAAAATATAATAAAACATTAAAAATCTTGTTAAAACAAAAGCGCACAACCAACACGATCGAAACGAAGAAAAACAATAACAGATGTAGTTGAGAGGCTGTTGATAACTCATTTATCGATAATAGTGATGTATGTCAATGGGAGTTTGGTAACGATTACCTGTTGCTCTGAAATTTAAAGCTTTTGTTTTTGACTGCTTCCAATATGAATAAACAATATAATTAATTTAGATTTTTTTGTCGCTTTGAAATTTAAAGCTGAAGACGGCACATGAATGAATTGTATGCATTTTTAATTAAATTATTATATTTTATTTAATAAAAATTTAAGATCAGTAATTTTAAATTATTCACTGCCTTTATTTTTTTACCGTTATGATTTGGATTTTTGTTAATTTTTTATGATTAATTGTTGTTGGTAATTTTTACAGAGAAGGGACGAATGAAACAAATGTTTTTACACATTATTTAAAAACGGCTTTTTGTTTTTGACTGCTTCCATTATGAATAAACAATATAATTGGTTTGAAGAATTTTTTAAATTAGATTTTTTAGCTTACATATTTTTTTACATTTGAATGTATGATTTTTTATCTTAATTTTTTTACATTTGAATTTATGTTTCCCTTCATATATTTATTAAAATACGGAAATAAATATATATTTTCCATTTTTATTGCACTTCACTTCCGTTGGATCACTTTTTTCTGATATTTATGTTGGTGGCGCTAACTGCATAAACGGCGTAAAGCTAAACACTGTCTGCGACAAGAACAAAAAACACCATCATAGGAATTGCACTAAACCGTTAGCCGAAGGATACATTTTTTAATACAAGTTTAATAGTCTTTTTCACAACATTTCGTATTAAATTTCACAATTCCCATGTTTCCGACACTTTAATAAACACTTTGCAATAGCTTTCCTAACATAAGACACAGTACAATTTAACGAAATTATTAAAAACCGAGACCCGACAAAGTACACCGATAACTGAATATGCAAACAATCGATACAATTTTTTTCGCGCTCTTTTTTGCAAGTAACAAAGTTGGTC